AAGAAAGAAAGAAAGAAAGAAAGAAAGAAAGAAAGAAAGAAAGAAAGAAAGAAAGAGGGAGGGAGGGAAGGAGGGAGGGAAGAAAGGAGGGAAGGAAGGAAAGCTGAGTAACTACTAAAGTATGCATACTAACCTGTAGCTTGGGAAAGACTGTAGAGTTAAGATGAACTATCAACACAGAGAGGAAAGCAAAAGGAAAAAAGCATCAGAGCTTCTCATATCTCCCACTGGAAAGAGGAATCCAACATGACACTGGTCTCCCAGTCACTTCACAAATTTGTGTTTGCATTTTAATAAAGACTCTCAACCTTAGTAATGCCTTTGCTTCCTAAGCCAGGAGTTTGGGCTTACCCAGGCCTACACAAGAACACGAACTGTCCAGAGTGGAATAACAAGGCCTCAGGCTGTTTGATTTTCACATTTTATACACCATTTCTAGAAAGAGAAAGCAGAGAAGTCTACCTTTCTCTTTAAAAACATTTCTTTTAAGAGGGGGGCCAGTGAGTCCAGGTCAAGAGTGAAGCAGAGCACTGACTTTATTATGGTGGCTGTTGGTAAGAGCTGGATAGGATCTGAACTGTTTGGAAGGAGTCTTACCTTTTAAAGTCAGATGGTAAAAGTGCCCTAAGACACTTCCTCTTCTTCAGGGACTCCCTGCATTTCGTGTACATTCTATTTAAGAATTTGTTTAATTAATTAGTTAGTTAATTAGTTAATTAATTAAGCTTTTTCTGGTAGTCAGGAATTTTCTAAGGAACAAGCCATATGCAGGACTTTAAAGGGAAGACTCACATGGACATATAGGACCCATTCGGGAACTCCCCGAGCTTGAGATAATGAAGCCTATGAAACTGTCTCTATGGCTGAGACTCCTGCTACCAAATGTGAGAACCTAAACTTGAATGCCCAGAATCCAGCCCCACAACCGTAAACCCTTTGCTCTCAGAACAAAATGGGATAGAGACAGGAGAATTACAGAAGTTCGTCAGCCAGCTCGTGTGTAGTGAACACAATACTGACCGATGAAGAGACAGATATGGCAAAGGCTAAGAACTGTTGGGTTAGGTGTGGAACTGGTACCTAAGGTTCTCCCCTGACCACCAAATGTGCATAATCACATATACCTACACACACTCAGACTGATGAACACACTCAGGCAAACATACCCACATACATAGCACACACACACATACACACACGCGCACACACACAAAGAAATTAAGACTTACCAGCTCCCACCCCAGAGCTACTGAGTCAGATTTGCATTTTAATAATCTTCCCAGAACATCTGTAAGAATAGTAAAATTTGAGAAGCCCCGAGCTAACCATTATACCCACCCTTGATTGTTAGTGTTTGTGACATTGACTAGTGTGCAAGAGCCAGGCCAAAACTCTAGTAAAACAATTCTGGGTCTGCCTGAGGTTAATCCATGCTTGGTATTATTATAACAGCTAGGGACATAGCTGGTTATATCTGTTTCTATGGTCATGTGTTTACTCGCTTTATTAAGAGAACAGCTAACAACAATATCTCTTTTCATGAATATCTAATCTAGAGGGTGACACTCTGAAGACATGAATGTCTTCCACTCAGCAGTCTGGCATTTCTTGATGATCCTTATCTGAATCCTTTAACACCGTGAGGATTGATGAAGGGGTATTATTAAATGTTGTCATTCTTTCCACTCATTAGCTATATATTGAGCTCTCCATTATCAGAATGGAAGCAGGTGGAGGTGGGACCCATCAAGTCACACAATGAGTTGAGGCATGGCTTAGAGGAAGATGACCCGGATTGTGGGAGTTACTGGGGTATGAACAATGGTCAGCCTCCAGAGCAGCACTCCATAGCAGGAAGTGGGACTAGATGACAAAATGCATTGATGGAGGAGGCCCAGAAGACAAAGTACCCACTCCATCTTCAGAGCAGGAAGATTTTCTAATCTAACATCTGAGTCCAGCTCCCTGCGGCCACCTTTCAAGACCGTAAGTGACCTGCTTGCCTATTGTGTCATGTCTTGAAGCCAGTGCTACCCAAAGAGTAGCTACTAGACCAGACATGATGGCATATCCGGGAGACTGCCTAGAAGTACAACAGCTTTGAGCCTATTCCAAACCCACTGAATCAGAATACTTATTTTCATGAATATCCACAGGATATATATCCTTGAAAGTGGGAGAAACACAAGTCACTGTAGTCCAAATCCCAAATCTGCCAAACCAAGAGTTCCTAACTAAAATGTACACTGGGGGTCTTCTGTAAGTGCCATTTGCTCTCTCCTTGGTTCTTGAGAGAACATGCTGCTATTTTGTCTGCCTTATTCTATAGAGACAATGCTGGAGAGCATTGTCATTCACAGCCAGAATGACCAACGTTCTCCTCTCTGGGATCTTCTGTAATGATTAACTCATTTCTCTATGTCTTAGACAACTCTTAATTCTTGAAGTTCATTTAAAGATCAATACAATAAGGCCCAGAAAAGATTTGGCTCCAGAGTAGCCTTCATTGAGTGTTTTCAATAGAGATAATAGAGATTTCCATGTGCCTTGAACCAAAGACCACTTATAAGACAGCGAAAGTCAGAAAGGAAGATGACGTAGAATTCTCTCTAAAATATTCCACATTTGCATTGTCTTTGATATTTTGTACTAACAGAGGATTTTGTTTGAAAAGCCAGTTTGGGAACTTACACACGTGTGTTCTGTACCTGCCACATCACTGCTCTGAGGAAATAGACCTTAGGGGAGATTGTGATAAATTAAACACATTATAAGGCAATTCCTCTTAATACCTACTGTTTTCAAACAATTGCTAATAATTTACATGCAAAATCTTGTTATGACCCCAAAAGCCCAGAGTAGGAATTATTGGTCCTCTACTTACAGTAATTAAAGAAAAGGGGAGAAAAAAAACTTTTTGGGCTAATGATTGGGATGGGGGTCATTGTACCTAGGGACAAACAGACTAAGCATGGCCATCCTTTCCATTACACGGAAAGAACTCTGGAACTGTTGGAATGCTCATCAGGTGTCTGTAGAGGCAGAAAGAAAAGAGAAAGTATGCTTAAGGAAATACAGCAGGGGCTGGTAACCATGGTGATTGTTTTCCTGAGCTACTCTATGGAGCTGAAATTATAGCCTGGGGGGAGCCACTTGTTTGCATCTAGGTCAAGTCTATGTCCTACCTTACTCAAAGCTGAGTCACCGAGCAGGATAGTTCTCATTTTGCCTAGCCAATGTCTCAAATTCCTGGACAAGGTTTATTAGAACAGTTTACACACAGCACTCTGCATAGTGCCTGGGGTCTAAACAATCTGACAAACTCTAGCAGCCATCATCATGCCTGACAAATGTAAGCAGTCATCATGTCCTTAGGCCTTGCTTCTCCATTCTCACATTCAAGAGATGCTCATAGAACAGCAAGGAGAAAGCAATGAATTCTTCTGTCATTGGCAAGTGGAAAGTTCACTGAAGAACTTTGGCCTAGAATTAGCCCTAGACTCAAGTATCTTGGCATTCTTCCTTACAAAATTAACCCAAAGTTCTGTAAGATGACTAAACTTGTCTCTTGCTTTGACTCTGGAATAACATCTACTGTGGGCAGCCAGAGGAAGCCACAGAGACCTTGTATTCTTCAACATAGGAACAGCCACACTTCTGTGAGAAATTCCCTGGACTCTTGGTAAAGGAAGGAGCTACAGGATTCCCTGCCAGTGCTTTTGGCATCTCCCTGCCTGAAGAGATAGAAGGAACTCTCAGCTGACAGGCAAAAACAAGACCTTACCCTTCATGATCCCATCTCCATTCCATATGTTTAGGTCCTCCTCCCAGATACACCTCTTATATCCTTGAGGCTCAAAGGTATTTTGGAATCCAGGAGTATCAGCATCACCTGGGATCTTGTGAGAAATAATGTCAACCCAACTTGCTAAATGGAAATTTGCAGCTTAAGAGTCTCAACATTAAAGCACCAGAAATTCTTTTTTTAAGCACTCTGATCATTTCATGGCTTATGCCACAACTCACTGTTCTGATTCTATATTTATTACTAGTTTTGAAATGACTGTTTTAATGAACTGGTCCATGGCATATCTTTCAGTGAGTGACACAGTGCACACCACAGATCATCCAAAGCCGAATGAATGATTCTCTAGCATTTCTGCCACTGGGATGGTTCTGCCAGTGTTGTTCTTCTACTATTCACTCTAGGTGTCTAGGTAGATACATGGCCCTTGATGCACTCAATCATGTCAGGCTTCATCTAAGTGGAAATGCTTTCTTTGTGTTTGCACTTCATGCTATCGAAAGTAATGCTTGGCATTAAGTCAGCTGGTTATAAGAGGCAACATAAAGGGGAAATTTGTGATGTCAGGTTTTCCTAAGAAGCGTATGGGTAATCGTGTAATTGCAGATGCACAACACTGTTACCTACGTCAAGAGCTCTCAGGAAATAAGGCAACACAAAACAAGCAGAGGGAAAGAGGTTTCCAAACTAGTTTCACACCTCTTCCCCTAAAATTCTGAGACCCCAAGTTATAGACTTTCACCAGATTACTGTGCCATTGAGACTGGTATTATAGAGGCCTCCTGAGCTGTATTTCTGAGTTCCTCCTCTTGGGCTAGAGCAGAGCCCTACTTCTCAGATGCAAATGTGTCCACAGAAAGAGAATGATAGAGCGCTTGCACAGAACACTGAGAAAGGCAGGTACTGTTAGTTGTCAACTTCCAGCTTTGGTAGATACTGGGAAACTATCTTTTCCCATAAAAATAGACTAGGATCAGATCGAAAGGAGGAGGACCTTCCCTATCAGTGGACTGGGGAGGGGCATGGTGGAGAAGAGGGAGGGAGGATAGGATTGGGAGGAAAAGAAGGAGGGAGCTACAGGTGGGATACAAAGGGAATAAACTGTAATTAATTTAAAAAAAGAAAAAATATTCACCCCTTTCTAGTCTTTATTATTATCTCAGTCAAGTGCACTAGACTGTGACCTATATAAAAGGCTAAAAGGCAAATGTGACATTCTGTTCATTTGTGGAAGGCTATTTACATGCCTCTCTAGGTTGACATGGGAAAAAGTGGTGAACACTGGAAAGCTAATCTCTGAGGAATCTGCTGGGTACCAGTGCCCCTCCACCTCTGTGGGCCACCTTCTCAGAACATGGCAACTATTCTTTCTTCAGTCTCATCTGACCCCCAGCACAGTTTTCTCTTCAGTCAACATCTTTTACCATCAACTTCTTACTCATGTGCATAAAAATCAGTAAAAGAGACATCTATGATGATTCTGTAAAGCATCATAAATGTATGAATGAATGTATGAATACATATACTTCTGTTTGTGCTACATATACTTACAAATTTATAAATTTGCCAATTATCTGGAAATGAACTTGTAATAAATCCATGAAGGTCGAGACTCAGCATATTTACAATATCATCACAATGTTTGGAATATAAACACTAATTAATTCACAAATTCCAACCACATTCGAGGTAGAAAGATTTATTCCAGGTATGTTTATAACACTTTAAAATGAGCTAGATATGGACAGAAAAAAGTACATATACTTATTCACTTCATTTAATCGTATGTTGACTTAAGGAGAAAAAAAACAGTAGCATGTGCGGAGGGGAAGAAGGTCTTGGCTGGTAGTGGAGGCTCCAGCTGTGCTTCTGAGCTCCAAAGTTGCTGTGTGCCCCTGAACAAGCCATCTTGTCTTGTTTCTTGTTTTTGAGATGTGCATGGTGACCCCTGTTTAGGGTATCTGATAGACAGGTAGTCTAGCATGCACAGGAAGTGCACTACAGTCAATCAATCAATGAATCTTCAAGCTTTAAGAGTCAAATGGAGGGTGGGTTCCAAATTGCACAGTACTTTGAGGACTCCCAAAGTGAAAAAAAAGATAATCTGTTCTGCCTCTATGGTGTCCTCACCCTGCTCTTCTCTCTTTCCTTCCAGGACTCCACTCCAAAAACAACTGACAAGGTTCCCCTTAAAGGAGGTAAGATCTCAACTTTAGGAATGAATGTGTAATGAATCATGCAGATGACACCACAAGGTATGATGCCTACTTATCAGGAAGAAATGCTGTGGCTGTCTCCAGCAGGAGTGGGGCGGATGGAGGTGGGGGTGCATGGGCTGAACTGATGCTTCTGACTCATCTGGGTAGGCCCTGATTACTGTGCTTATCCACACAAACCTCCCACCTGCCAGTAACACTCTCACTAGCAACGCCATTGCTGTAGCCAAGCTACAGACCCTGGCAGGGATGTAAGGCAGCCTTGTATTTTGATCTGCAAACCCTAAATTGAACAAATTGGAGTATGAATCTGGACTCCACTTTCCATAGGGAAGTCTCGGTTACACATCCATGAAATGGGAATCACAGTGATCACCTCATTGTGATTCTAGAGGAGCCAATCGGGGTTAGCTCATAATTGCTTGGCATGACAGCCAGCATATTGTAATGTTCAAATAACTGAAAATAGCCAAAACCCCTAATGAAGTTGAAGACCTGTAGCCACAGACTACTCCTCTCTGCTCTGCTGGTCACAGAAGTTGTTGATTAACATATTGTCCCACTAGTCCCTAAGGGGATATATGCAAAGTTCAGTTAATATTTAAGATTAAACTCAAGATCATCTAAGTAATGTTTTCATGGCCTAGAGAAGGAAAAATCAAACTCAGAGAAAAAGTGTCTTGCTCAGAATCATATGGATTGAAACAAAAGGTCCTTGACTCTGATCCAGTGTCTTTGCATTCTAAACATCAATCTCCACCCATTTCCACTCACAATTTTCGGAGCCTGGGTAGCAATCACAGGTGGCTAACCACAGAACTGCAAGAGGGGAGGGAAGAAGATGGGATGGGTAGGTAGAACTTCAGAGACACCAGGGTAGAGATGCTAGGCATCCTTGGGACCAGAGGACACAGAAGAACTGACACAGCTCCTCACAATGCATCACCCTTGTAGTTTCTCTCCTTCTGGATATTGTACTGAAGACTTAGAAAGTATAGACAAGGAGCCTCAGGTGGACATAGGGCCTTCTAAACCTTTTAAGACAGATTAATAACCTTAGGTTGATGAACAATATCTTAATATTGGCCCGAAATCACTTAGTCCCTAGTATGTGGTATCATTTCCCCTTCCTGTGTAGATAACCAGTTATGTGATCAAGGAGCAAAGTAAAGTGTAGAGGCCACAGACATTGTCTAAAAAGATCCAGATAGTAAATATTCCAGGCTTTAAGTGCCTTCTTACCTTGGCTGAAATTGGTTCCGCAGTTACTGTGATTATCACAGCCAGACAATACACGAATGTGCAGGCATGACTGCATTCCCCTAGACCTTATTTACAGAATGAGCAGTGGCTGGACTTAGCCCATAGACCGGAGTAGCAGACTCTGTGGTAAAGACAGTGTAGGCTTTGGAGTTAGACATTATTGCTAGCTTGTTGTATAAATTCCCATGGAGCCTTGCAAAGAACAGTTGGCATTGATCGAACATAATTCCCTGGCTATGCTTCCATTTTCATGCCACCAGCTCCACTTAGAGTTTTCTGAGTAAGATGGGAGTTTTCATTTGGCAAAGGTCAGCAGCCACCTTTCTTAGACATAATGTCAGTGGCAAAGATAGCCATGATTAGGTACCACACTGAGCAGTGGTTCTTTCTTGCTTGTAGAGTGCTCCAATCACAGGTTGCAGAGCTCTAACTAGTGGATTTCAGTTAGCACCAGATCACACGGAATAAGAATCAAGAACAAAGTTGTCCTCTCATCAGCTGGTCAGCTACACTACAGGTGGAAACACTTTCTTGGAGAGAACATCCTCAGGTGCTTCCCTTCACAGAAAGAATTGATACAGATGGATGCTAGGTTGTTTTCTTTGTCACTTATTTTGTTTTAATGAGCATAAGAGGCGAAAATAAAATCTGTCCTTCCCATATTGCCCCTCAGTTTTTCATTTGAGGGAGATTTTTTTTTTAAGTTCATGAAATCCCAAATTTGGGGAACTGAGGATTTGAGCATTTACAGTTCCCTCCTTACCTGCTCCATGACTAGGAATATCGGAACAAAAACTAACAAGAACAACAAATAACCTTTGTTTTCAATTCAGTGTTTCTGCAAACAGATTCTGTTTGTCAATTCTGATAATACTTCTCACTGGGAACATGAAAATTTGGTTAAACCTTTCAGGCTTGTCTGATTACCAGCTCCAAGATTTAGCAGTACAGGGTAGAGAGAGATTGGGGCATATTTCCGTTAACATTCTCATTTGCTGGTAAGTTTCTGAGAGCCAAGAGGTCATGGTGACTTGCCAGGGCTCTACAGAAAGCAACAACCAACAGTAGAGCAAATATGAGACTCCACAGTTCCCTCTGTTGCCCCTACTTCAGTTTTGAGGAGCCGGCACCCTATGGCCCCTGACTCCCCTTTTAATGCACATCTACACTTGCCTTAGCTCCACAAAGTTTGGACACTGCAGCAGGGTAATGGAGAAAAATAGCATGTGAGAGTAAAACTTGGCTCTGCACACCAGCAGGCTAGGACTCTAGGAACATCTTTCCTCCTCTCCAAACATCACTGTTCTCAATATACTAAATGCATTGGAGTTGAGGCCACGGAGAGTGCTCATTTCACAAGCTTGTGGGTAGGTAAATGCTTTTTGTGCTCTCTCTGCGTGAGAGCCTGAGTCAGATCCCCACCACCCGCAGGAAAAGCAGGAGCACCTCTATCCAAGCACTGAGAAAATAGACAGGAAGATCTGTGGAGCTCACTGGCCAGCCAGTCTTGCCATACTGAAAGGCTCTGGGTTCAGTAAGAAACTTTGTCTTAAAAAAAAAAATAAGACAGCAAGAAAATGAGGAAGACACCCCATGTTGCCTTCTGGCCTCTACATACACGAATACACACACACACACACACACACACACACACACACACACACACACACACAAACACCATTTCTTTCATACTTCCTGAGACTAGAATTCTCTTGTTGGGTAGTTAAAGACAGAAAGAAAAACCCTGTCAATTGTTTGACGAAACTCTGAAGTAATAATCTTGTTCACCAACAAGCTAAGCTTATGCCTACACAAGAAGTAAATTGTCCTTTTTGAGAAGAAAAGAAGGGGGCAGGGAGAAAGATAGCACTGTTTTGAGACATCCCAGGCAGGGCAGAGCTACTTTCCAAATATTCCTGGGAGGAAGTCCCAAGGGTCCCATGAGGTTTGTCACAAGGACAGATGCTGCAAGGATGGGAAGCCTCTGCATGATAGCTGTTGTAAATCCATCACCTCCAGGAAGCCAGCACTGACCAGAGCCAGGGATGTAGGGCTCTGTACACATGCTGAGGTAGCCCAGCACAGGATATCCTTAGCTACAGGGAAACCGCAGAAAGCCACACCCGTGTTGGTAACGAGTCCTAACACAAACTTGCCATTCCTGGCTAGAATAGGTCCTGCATTCACCCTGCTTTGCTTAAGACTTGTCAGTCATTCAGTTGGATTCATGGACAAGCAGGAATGCTGGAAGGCAAGTCTTTCCCACACACTTCATGCTGGGTTTTAGTCTCTCCTCTAGCAGAAAAAAGGCAACATGCCTCCTGCAGGGAGCCACTGTGAACATGAATGGAACAAAAAAATACATTTTCCCACTTGGCCGAACCTCCATCTGGTCCACCTTCTCTTCCATGTTCCGTGAAATGATCCTCCCTCCTCCACATGCAGGCTGGAGTCAAGGCTCCCACATCGCCTCATCATTCTTTTTCTAATCTTCTGCGTCCATTGAATTTTGACTGTCTCATGGTGCCCATGCTCTGGGCTCACTTGTCCAAATCTCAGATCACAGCCCCTCTACCTAGATTTCTCGGGAACCCCAACAAAATCTTGCCTGCCGGCATAGCATGTCTGCAGAAGGATTGAGACAAATGGAAAAGCTGGAGGGCATCACGGTACAGAATAGTGTCTCCCAGCAGGTGGTGGAGACCTCTGGGGCTCTAGCTGGAATAGGTCAAACCTATTTCAGCTACTAGAAAATTCTCAAAGGCTAGCATACTCTATCACTAAGTTCTGGGGCTGTGGGGCAGGCTTGAGTGAGACTTGGGGTGATTCCATCTCCTGTCGGTAGAAAAATATTTTTCCCTGAAAATGCTATGTGGCCCATGGCACCCAAAGGTCTTAATGACCTAAGGAAACCCCATACCCTTCAAAGTTAAAAGAAAACTATGGGCATCAAAGAGATGAAGAGGTGGTCTCTTCAATAAAGAAACACTGAGAGCTGAGTGCAGTGGTTCTCACCTTTAATCCCTTCACTCAGGGAGGCAGAAGCAATCATATCTTTGTGAGTTCAAGGCCAGCCTAGTCTACAAAGCAAGTCTAGAACAAGAACAAAAAGGAAAACAAGAACAAGAAATGTTGAGGGTGAGAGAGCTGCACAGCCAAGCAGACTAACTTCCCCCAGTTCTTGTCTGTGCCATCCGGGAGCCATGACTGGTGGCAGAGAGGTGACACAAGGAACGCAGCCTTCTTTTTCCTCACAACCTCTCACCCTCAGGAAAATAAACACTGTCTGGCAGAGCCCCACTCTGTCAGAGGGATGGGACTGGATCCAGTTTGTTACTTTTAGTTTCCACTTGCTCTTCTTCCCCTTTGCAGCATTGTAGAATGTTTCCCTGGAGGTAAGGGTAAATCACTTTTCAGCTGGTCACTTCGCTTGCCACAAAGGAACCTACTTGTTCCTCCTTTCGCTCTGAACACACTCAATAAAACTCGCTCTTAAATCCATTTTCTTTTTCTCAAGGCAGCACTAACAGGAATCAGGAATTTCTCTGTTGGAAATACCCAGATCGAAGTGGAATGAGGTTCTGGATAGGGCTCTAAAGCCATCACTGATAATTCTCACACCCAAGAAAGAATGAGGAGGAAGGAGAAGAGATGAGCTGCAGGGGAGAGGAAGGAACAAAAGAAGACAAAAAGGCTGAGGTTTGATACTAGACTTGGCA